GTGTGTGTGTGTGTGTGTGTGTGTGTGTGTGTGTGTGTGTATGTGATGTGTTATATTTGAGTGTGATGCTTGGTGTGATATGTGTGAGGAAAGCGGGTGAAGTCCCCATGAGCAGACCCTCAGGATCACATACACCTTAGCCCAGCCCAGCCACACAAGGCTAGGTTCCCCTTGTGAGGGAGGTTAGCAATAGCCAAATTCTAGATAGCAGAACCTCCCCAGGCCACCTGACTACATCTCTCAAACACTTCTTGAGGCAGTGAAATTCAAGATTCTTTAGGAGTCTCTATCAAACTTTTGACCATGACCCAAACTAAGTGTACACATTAAGGAGAGTTGATACGCAGTCTGAGTACATGGATTGTGCTGTGATAGTTCCTATTCTGCTGTCCGTGTGTGGTGGTGACCCACTTGTGGACACTACTTACGCCGAGACACAAACACAGCTTTGTTTAGAGCTTGGTGTGGCGAAGCAGCTCCGTAATCTCTGCAACCCCAGAGGCTGAGCCAGGGGATCAAAAGTTCTATCCTAGGTAGTTTAACTCAAGTCTCAAGTCTCGACATTTTAAAAAGGGCTGGGGGTGTAGCTCAGTGGCTGGGTTCAATCCCCAGTATCCAAAACAAACAAACGAAAAACAAACGCTTTGTCTTGGACAGAGCACTGGAGCTGCAGTAAAACCTGCAGTCTTCCAAGCACATCAGAAACCACTCCCTCCACACTGCAGGCCCAGACCTCAGCCACAGTCCTCCAGTGAGCAGCGGGAAGCAGGCTCCCCTGACCATTTTACCCGATGGCAGGGGAGGGGGCTGCTCAGGCCCAGGCTGGCAACTGTTGGTTCACCAGCCCCAGCGGCAAGGCCATTCCGTGCAGTGGATGGGTCCCTTAGGGGTTTCCCAGTCTCGCGTCAGCCCTTTGGGATCGCTGCAGGAGAATGATGATCCTGGCGAGGTCGGAGAGGGCGGGGAAGGACGCCATCACGCTGTCCACCTGGTCGGGAGGGAAGACGCTACAGAGCGCAGTGCGCTCACGGGCGCGAGCGTCCACCTCTCTGTCCACGGCCCTGGGAGCAGACCCCAGAGTTCCCCCAAAGGCGCCGTCGCCCCAGGACGGCTCCGCCCAGACCGAGCCACCCAGAAAGTGCTCGGATCCGGACAGACCGGCCCACGGGTCGTCGGGAGGTCTGCGCTGGGGAAGCAGGTCACCGCGCAGGTCCCGGGGCCCAAGTCCGCCCCGCACCTGAACTTGTGGCGACGGGAGGTCGCCGGGGACGAAGGGGCTCTGCGGTCCTGGGAGGCTGCGCAGGCCCGGCGCCAGCGCCCCCAGGCCGGGAGGCCCCGGGGTGGCAGAGATGCCCGCCGGCGAGGAGGAGGGCCCGGGCGCCCAGTGAGAACCGCGAGGCCCGAGCGCGAAGCCGCCGGCGGGGTCGTCGCTGAACGCCAGCCTCGAGAAGCCCGCGCGCAGGGCGGCCAGGTCCGCGGTCCCCGGCGCCCGCGGGAGGCTGTGCGCGCAGGGTTCCCCGGGGAGCGGCCGGGCTGCTGCGGGGCCGCCCCGGGCGCTCGGCGGCCGCGGCTCCTCGGCGCCCCCGCCGGGCCAGGCCCGCGTCTTGGCCCAGAGCTCATCAGCCACAGGCAGCTGTGCGTGGTGCGGCCTCTCGGGGTGGTAGAACTTGCACTTGATGCCGTAGGTGCATTTCTTGCCTGGAGGGGCAGGGCAGAGAGGACACAGGTTGAGAGCGGGCGTGGAGAAGCTGTGCACCCGGCCCCTGGTCTCTCTCCATGGAGATTCCTCCCAGAAGGCCCCAGACCACCTCAAACTCTGCCTCCTTAGGTCCCCAGAAGGGCCTGAAGATCTGGACTGGTGACTAAAGGGGGAAGGGTTCTGGAGCATGGGCAAAATGTCTCATGGCACATGGGGCACAATAACTCCCAAGGTCTGCAGAGTGAGCATCCGTGCAGGAACTCTCTCTGACCAGGGTCTGACACCAAATTTCTGGATCTGATGACCTTCAGCCTGTACTTCCTCGGGGACCCTGTGCATAGGACCGACCTTGAAGATATGTGGGGAGCAGGTGCCCCATAGTACAGGACTGCTCTTCCAGCGCTGCCACAGTTTCCACCACTGTCTGCATCCCTGGTACTAACCACTGTCCTCTCCCTACACACTGTTCTATTAGAGGTAGTCAAATGACAAATAATTGATCATCCAAGCCCAGGCATTTTAGAGCTTAATGGTCTAGCCTGAAGTATGGTTACCTTCATTCTAGCCAAAAAAAAAAAAAAAGGCTTTTGAGTGCCATCCAAGATTTTTAATTAGACTTCTGGAAGCACAAAACCAAGACCTGGAGTCATTGAATAACTTGCCAAAGCAGGTTAAAGAGCTTGCTAGAAGGTCCTCCTGGATAAAATCCTTGACTTCATGGATAAGGTGTATAAGGGCCTGGGAGAACCGTGGTGCAGGATGAAGACACGAGGTGTGAGTGGACCAGAGACTGAGAACTGGAGCTCGCATCCCCACCTCCCTACTTCTCACACACAACACAGCCGTGCCTGTGTCTGAGTCCTACATCCAGCCCTCAGACATCCCTGTCAGGACATAGCAGTCCAGAGAAGCTAAGCTATCTCTTCAGGGTCACCCAGCTGGTTAAGGATAGAACTTGAGACTCTGTCAGGCCAGGACTTTGGGGCTGCCCCCACACTAGTCCCTGAAAAGGGCCCATGAGGCCCAGGGGCCTACACACCATAGGGGCAGTGCTGCCAGGATGGCTCTGGAGGCCTCGGCTTCCTGCTCAGGAAGTTGCTCAGAGTGGGTCCACGGCGGCCCAGGGGGTCATCGGGAGGCATAAATCTAGAAAATAAGCACAGAGAGGCATTTGCAAGACCACAGTGGGACTGGCCACTGGCATCTATATGGGGATTGAAGCCACCCAGAAAACACCAAATGACATAGACCATCCGTCCCCACAGGGAGTTGTCATAGCATCTTAAAAAGCACACCCTTTCTCTACTGAGCCCACGCAGAGCACAGCACCTCTCCCTGAAGCTCCTGCTAATGTGGTGCAAGCCAGCAGGATCAGAGTCACCTGGAAACTTGTTTAAAATGCAGTCTCTGGCTTCCTCCATACCTCCTTCATCAGACTCTGAAACTGTTAAGGACTCTGTATTTTAACAATTTTTTATCCAGGAAAATTCAGGTATAATTGCTCCAGGCTCACCGCAGCTTCCCGTTGTCCTGATTCAAGATTAGGAACCTCTATGGGGTTAACAGCTCATGGAAGGTTTTGGACTTGTACCAGCAACTTGAAGCTTGGGCCCCTATGTCCTATGGGCCTCACACCATAGCAGTCTCAGCTCAGGGCATGTGCAGGCCAAGGGTCAGCACTGCAGAGTCTGAAACACCAGCAGTGAATGGGCGAAGATGCAGATTCAGAGCCCGCTGCACACGGTGCCTGGGCACCAATGGCCTGTCCTCTGCATACTCCAGGGGCTCCGGGCTTGGTCTCAGCTCCTGAGGCTGCCACACTCTGCACGGGAGGTTTTCTGATACCAGTTTTGCCCCTGCCTGCCCCTCCTCCTCCCTGGAGTGGACCCCTGACAAGAAAGGGAGTGCACCCTCAGTGTGCCTGGGTCTCAAAGGGGAAAACGAAACTCCTCAGAAGGAAGACTCCCATTTAGTGAGCTACATCTTTTTCAGTGGATGCTCCTGTTCCCACAAGACACTTCCAGACACTTCCACAAATCCATACAAAGGTGGAGGGGCTGTTTTCATGAGTTGCTGCCCGCCCCCCCACCAAAAAAAAAGTCAGAGTCATGCTGAAGTCCCACCCTGCAGAGAGCTGGGCCATTCCAGGCTCAGCACAGCCTCCGTGGCTCAGCTCCCAGCTACACAGCGGGCTTCTCAGAGTTGGGAACTGACCAAGAATCTGGGGAGCCGCCCACTGCGGTTATTAAAAGTTCCCAAAGGCTTCGCCTCCTGTTCCCTCAGGAGCCAGAACTGTGCCAAGAGGGCCCTGTGGACGTGCCCAGGGCACCAGGGTGAGTGACCTCACTCATAGGCAGGCAGGCCCTGCTTTCTGGCTGCCCCTGAGCAGAGGCCAGTGCATCAGGAGGACTTGGCCTGGGCCACTGACTGTCACCAGGCCAGCAGCAGCCATGACCCACCAGCCCTCAATGAGGATTTTTGGAACCCACAGTCACCAGACTTGCCAGATTCCTCTAGGCAAACACTGGACAGGGAGAGCCGCTGGCCTTGTGCATCTGGAAGCAACAATGGGGCTACTTCGGGGTGGCTGCTGCTGAGCACCTGCCCTGGGGCTCGGGAAAGCGCTTCACCTCCTCTGCTGCAGGAGCAGGCGAGGACATCCTGGTCTGGCCTGGGAGTAACTGCTCTTATGTCTGGGGCACAGTTCTCTCTAGGCCTCATGATAATCTCACAGGTACTATTACTAATCCCTTCTCAAGGTGAAGAGTCCCCGAGGTGACTGATTGCCCCATGCCACACCACCTCACAGGGCAGGGGCTCAGTTGGAAACCTCCACCACACCACACTGCCTCTCTGCTGTTCTGTTGTGGGCAGGTGGCCTGAGCCCAGCCTACAGGGCCCTCCTCTCCCCTCCTCCTCCTCTTCCTGGAGCCACATGCTCACTCATGCACTCACACGCTCATTCACTCCTGTACCACCAGTTATGATGTGCCCATTATGTGACAGGCATGCTGGGGACGTGGCAGGTAGATAGTTACAGTCCCTGCCCTACACATTCTGAAAGAGGCCAGAATGAGAGCTGAGCTGTCAGTGCCTGGAACACTAACTGCAGCGGGAGCCCAGGCTGCTGTGTGCTGCCCCTGTCCAGTCCTCAGACAGGCCCCCTGTCCAGGCCCCCCAGTGCCTGCCCCAGCAGAAGATGAGCCATCAATTCCTCCCCACCTTTGCTGAGGGCAAGGGCTTTCCGGTTTGTGCCTTGCGATCCTGATGTCCTTTCCCTGCCCCCAGCAGTAGCAGGTTGGTCCCAGGCTTGCCGAACTCAGAGAACCAACCTAGGGACTAGGCAAACCGGTAGGTTCTCCTGACTGTTTCAACCAAGAGGTGTGGGAACAGTCAGTTCCTGGCAAGTTAAGATCTTTGCAGCCCAAAGAAAAGATCTGTTCTACTGCACATTCCCACAGGTAATTAAAAGCTTAAAAAAAAAAAAAAACCTTGAAATAAGTGAATGGAAATACAACAGAGTTCAATATTTTCCCATGATGGCTATTCCAGAATTCTTATTTAAAAGATTAAGTTCTAAAACAAAAGAGTTTGTGGTGGGCTAAGCATCTGCAGCTTTGCAGTGACTCAAGTAGACGTGACCCTGGGAACTTCAAGGTCAAGGACAAACTGCCTGTGGAGGAAAGGGCCTAAGAGAGAAGACACCCAGAGAGACAAGTGACAGGGCAGCCTGGGAAGGCCGAGTGGGTGAGCTCAGGCTGACTGTGTCTGCAGGTCTGGATGTGCCCACCACCAGGAGCCCACTTTGCCAGGACCTGGGACTGGCTTTCTGCCTTCTCCCCAGTCCCCCCAGACCCCCAGGCCCCGTACCTATCATTGACAAAGGAGAACATGAGTAGCCTCTGCTCAATAAACCACTTCCACTCTGGGTTCTCATTCTGCAGGTCACGGTAGTTGTCATTGGAGACAATGATGCCGTCCTTCTCGTAGGCCACCTTTACGATGTAGCGGTCGTCATAGCAGACCACCCGCTTGCCGTTCACCTTGCGGGACGGGGTGTACACCAGCACCGCCTGCCGCTCCAGTTCCTCCAGAACGTGCTGCTCTGGGGCCACACACAGAGAAGCACGTGATGTCTTTGGGAAAGGACACTTGCCCCACAGACCAGGGACCTCCTTGAGCCTTCCTGCCTCCCCCCAACCCCAGCTGGTTAGATGGGGGCAGGGAGGTTTTTCAGGGAAGGGAAAATAACACCAGTTGCCATCCCCCCCCATTCCCTAATGTTCATTTCTTTCATTAAATTTCACTGAGTTTACCAGTGGCCCAAGGTCAAGGGGGCTCTTAGCTTGGGTCCTGCCCATGATGGAGTCCAGAAAATGGTACCCAACAAGGGAGAGCCCCTTCCAAAGGAAGATTTTAGCCTCAGCCCTGCTGTTTTCAGAGTTACAAGCCACATTGGCTCTACTATAGCAGACAGACTTCTGGAGAGGGATGCTCCTGTTTGAGTGGAACCCTGTGAAGATGGACCAATGATTAGCAGCCTGGCTTCCACCAGCAAGTTTCCTGTGAGCGCCCTTCAGTGTAACCACGGGTCCACCTTCCCTACCACTCAAGAATCTGCTTGGCCAACATTGAACATCCCACCGCCGACATCTCTGAGTGACTCGAGAATGTAATGGAAGAATCTGGAACTAAGAATGCACAGGATGCTGGGCTGAGCTCCAGTCTTTTTCCCTCCCTAATGTCAGATGTTACCTTCATAAAATGAACACAGTAACGTCTCCTTTACCTTTCTCACAGTGCTCAGGTGTGGGAGAGTTTTTGCAAAAACTAGGCAGGAAATGGACATGTGTCACTGGTGTAAGTATCTCCAGTCTTTCCTATGGGATTGAAGTTGGCATCCCAGGAAAGTCTAATGTTTGGTCTTAGATTTGCCTTTGGAGACACGCAAGGAAAATCCCTGCCACACATAATAGTTATTTGGCACTTGGAAGGGTATTAGCATATTCTTTATATATTTTTCTTCCCTCTGGTCTAAGTACTTTCCAATCTGACATGATTTCCAGACTTGAAAAAAGATACAGAATGCATCTGTGGAACAAAGTACAATAATAATAATAATGTTGTGGACTTTGAGAAGCAGAAGGTGGGGTCATGCTCGGGAAGTCCCTAGTGCCCCTCCCAGTTGACAGTCCACTCCATTCCCCTCAAGATGGCCCACGTTCTGCAAGTGAGTGTTTATAATTCCTTTGCTTTTATTTTTAGAAATACATATGTACAAGGACCATTTTCATTGTGGTGACAAATCAGACCCTACACATGTGGCACCATCCTACACAGGCACTTGCCCCGCTGCTGTTTTCATTGATCAATGTGTTTTTGAGGTTTGGTCACATGGCCAATATGTTCACTGCTATTAGTTTTTATGTAAGTCCCTGGCACAGAAGCCCAAGGAACTCTCCAGAACATGTCTCTAAGAATTTTCCCAACTTGGTGAGTACAAAACAGCCTATTATGGTGGTTTTATTTTGTGTTTCTCTGGATACTAATGAGATTGAGCACCTTTCCTGTTTTTATTAGTCATTTACGTTTTCTTTTCTGCAAAAGCCTTATTCATGCTTTAGCTCATCTTTTTATTGGTTTATTGTTCTTGTCTCATTAATTTGGAGAAGTTCTTCACAGATGCCCCAGTTTGAAGTTGACCTTTTTTTCTTTCCTTCCTTCTTTTGTTTCCTTCTTTTTCTTTTTTTTTATGGTAGCTCTTAATGAACAGAAGTTTTTATTATATAGTCAGATTTATTTATCTTTCTCCAATAGAACTGCTCTGGTTTAGCTTGTTAAAAATTCCTTCTCTACTCCAAAATAATTTTCCCCATTCTTTACATATATATATTTCAACACTGAATGGCTTAAACTTACCAGTATCCTTGTTTAGAGCATAAAGAATTCTTTGGGTAACCAATTCCTGATGGAAAACAGAATGCAAGTATGCATCCCTCTCTCATAAATCCCATTGAAAGGACAGTTTAAAAGGAGGGAGATCCATAATCACATTTAAAATGGGCTTGAAGACAGAAGTAAAGCCAGGGTTTGGACAAATTTTAGGAAGATAGAAAGCAGGGAGGGACATACTAACCCTACAGCATAGAGGGACCCCAGCCCAGAGTGTGGAGAAGACTGAAGCAGACATGGGAGTCATTTCACCTGGGAAGCTGCAAAACACTCTAGGCGTGGCCTGGGTGGTAGGCGGGCTGAGGCAGGATGGCTAGTGCAAGGGCTGCTTTCAGGGAGTTGCTCATGAACCTGTGCTCACTTCCTAGCCCTATTGCCATAAAAAAAAAAAAAATGAAGGCACAGCTAGGAAGGAGTAAGCGTCTCATTGTTTCAATCTGCTAGAATAAAACCCTCATCATTTTGTCACTGGAATATGTGACAGGCAGAAGTGCCTTACTGCCTGCCTGCTCCATACAGGGTATGCAGAAGTGAGACCTGCCAGTCAGCACCAAGAGTCAGCCCTGAACAATCCCATTCTAGGAGAACACTCATCCCAGAGGCTCGAGAGGCTGAGGCAGAAGGATCACAAGTTCAAAGCCAGCCTCAGCAACTTAGCAAGGTCCCAAGCAATTCAGCAAGACCCTGCCTCAAAATGAAATATTAAAATGGGCTTTGTGGGAAGGCACCTCTGGGTTCAATCTCTGAAACAAAAAGGGGGAGGGGAGAAAACTCATAGCACTTGCACAGGTATGTATTTAACCAATCTAGCTCTTTATTCACAATTAAAACATATATACACAGATCACCAGAATTTTGAGAGAAAAATGAGAGGGGCGGGGCTAGGATGAACAAATATAAGTGACCCCAGAAAAATTTAGATAACATTTGTGAAAATGATGAAAACTTTCTTTAAAAGTCTAAATAAGTTTATAGAAATATTCAAGAAGAGCCAGGAGCAGTGGCACACGCCTGTAATCCCAGCAGCTCAGGAGACTAAGGCAGGAGGATCGTGAGTTCAAAGCCAGCCTCAGCAATGGTGAAGCACTAAGCAACTTGGTGAGACCCTCTCTCTAATAAAATACAAAATAGGGCTGGGGATGTGGCTCAGTGGCTGAGTGCCCCTGAGTTCAATCCCAGGGGCCAAAAAAAAAAAAATCAGAAATATTCAAGAACATACCACATCCACAGAACAAGAACAACATTTTGTTTACAGAACAAAGAGAGATTAATAGAGAAGTAGCAGCAACTGGTAACCATTAACAGATTAAAAACAAACCAAAGACAAAAACCTCTGGTGAAAGATGAGAAGAAACAGTCAAGGAACCCTCCCAGGCTGACCAAGGGCCAGCCCTCCCGTGTCAACTATGAATCCACGCTGACAGCACCTCAGTCTCTTCTTGTTATGAGAGCTGAATAACAAACAAAACCCTGCTTGTTGAAACCACAGTGTGCCATTATTTGTAGCTTAAAATAGCCCTAGCTTATTTGAGAATTAAAACTAAAGAATTTCCTGGATCTCAATTTCCGTTTTTTTTTTTTTTTTAATGAAGAGACTCGACTAGGTATTCAGTAAATAATAAACATTCAGATTCTACAAACTACTAAGGATGGGATACAGAGCTGGTCTTTCTTCAGAGTGCTAAAAGTCGTAACTTTGGGAACTTAATCCTTCTCAGTAAACGAGTCCTATCGTTCCTTTATGCAATAGCTACTGATTAAGCACCGACCCTACATGAAGGGTGCTGGGTGCTAGGGCTAGGTGCTGAACAGCTACATGGGGTTTTTAGTGTAGGGAGGCAGAAAGACATTGCTAGACCAGTAACTTTAACAGAGCCACCACTGCAGGAGCCACCAAGGAAGAGCGCACAGTGCCTGGGGTGTGTACCTGCCGCAGCATACCTCTGATAGGGGTGTCAGATCGCGATGGCTCTTTCCTCCAGGATGGGACAAAAACCTTGATGTAGGTGTGTCCTCTCTCCCTGAACCAGTCCACAGCCAGCTGGATTCCCCGGCAAGAGAAGGCTTCTTTATTTCCATGGCTATAATGGGAAAACAAAGAAAGCTGACGAGACCCAGAGAGCGTTGGTTCCTAGGAGTGACTTCCCTGGGAACATTCTGGATCCAATCTCATAACCAAGAGGGAAGCAGACAAATCTGAATTTTAAAGATAGTTCTCTGCATAAACTATAGCCTAAATTAGAACCAGGCACCTGGTGATACATACATACAGGATCCCTTGCTCCAAGGGGTAAATATTCCAAGGATTAATAGACCAGGTCAGCTCTTTAGCTAAGCTAAAAGGATCAACATAAAATGGACCAGAGCCATCTGTAGGATTACTCTCACCCAGAGACGGTTATAAGTGCATTATTGGGTTTCTCAAGTCCAAGCAGGGAGATCAGTGCCCCATCAATGCCACTGAAGACATTGATGGGGCAGCAAGGAAACAGCGGTGTGGGAACGGGCAGGGACTGGTGGGCCTCCTAAGAGGCCCAAGAAGCCCTAGAAGGATTCTAAGGCAGGAAGTAGATGTGATGTGGTGATGTGACATGATACGATGTACATTTCTCAAAGATCAGTCTGGCAGCACCAAGAGCAGGTATAGGTACCCGTTTAGAAGCTGTAATAATTGACAGTGACTTGGACTCGGGAGCTGGTGTTGGGTGAGGGAGAGAGCAGGTGGACTTGAGAGGCATCTGGAGGGTAAAATCTCCAGAACTCCATTTCTGCCTGGATACAGTGAAAGTGGACAGTGGGATGTTCCCTGGCACAGGGATTCTGAGAGGGAAAGATCACTTACAGGTTTGGTTTTGGACACCTACTGAGTAAAAGGCTTTGTGACCCCTGAGTGGAAACGCTAAGTGACCAGGGAGGGTTCAGAGGTCCAGGTGGTAAGTTCTAGGTCCACTGAGTTTAAACACTAATTGAAGCCACAGCATGGAGCAAAATGATCTGACTGCCGGAGAGGAAGCAAGAGGCCCAGGCTGGCCACGAGGAACCCTGCGCTGAGTAGCTGAGGAGAGAGCAATCCTACCCAAGAGACAGAATGGATCTATCAGAGGAAGAGAAAGCCAGCTGGGTGCTGTATCATGGAAGCCAGCGGGAAGAGGTGGCCAAATGCTCTCCCAGGGTCTGGTGAAGCCTGAAGGCATCCATCCAACTTAGCCAATGGGGGTCAGTGGTGTTTTGCAGGAGAGGGAGAAAAGTGGATAATATGAGAAGGCAAAATCTACTAGACTAGCCACAGGACCTTTGTACCAGCTATTCCTTCCTTCTCAGGCCATTCACTCTTCCTCCTCCTTCCAACCTCAGCTGCACCTTTTTTTTTTTTTGAGTTGGGGGGTCCCTGTGTTTCTCAGATGGTCTCAAACTCCTGGGCTCAAGCAATCCTTCTTGCCTCCTGCCTCATCCTCCCTGGTGGCTGGGACCAAAGATGCATTGCACCTGCTCTTGGCTGCTTCTTCAATTCCTTGGGACAGTGTCTCCTGACCTCCTAGACTGTCAGGTCCCCTGTTCCAAGCACCGGTAGTGCCATGCCACTGCTCCCTGGCACTTAAGAAGGTTCGTCCTCAGCCAGGGGTCCACTGGGCCTCTCTCTGCTCTACATCACGGGTCCCCCTTGATCACCACTGAGTTCCCAGCACCTGGCCCTGTGCCTGGTAATTGGTAAGGGATCAATTTGAATTTTGGGGTAGACCAATGACTGAGAAAAAAAAAACCTCAAAACTAGCCGTGTCAGCAGCTGGAGAAGCCCAGAAAAAAGGGTCAGTTCCCTGGAAAGACCTTGATGCAGGTAGGACACGGCATGCTCCAGGGACAGAAGCGAGAGCATGTGGAATGAACAAAGGGGAGACAGCGGCAGGGACAGGTGGACAGGTCCTTGAGAGCCCAGGGTCCTGAGGGCCTGAACAGAAGCAGCCAGCCCACTTCCGGTGGGACTCCACCCAGTGTCCCTCCCAGTGCTTTCCTGTGTGTGTGACCTTCCCTACAAGTTTCTCAGGGGGCTCAGGACAGTCACAAGTTTGTAAAGCAAGAGAGGAAGGATGACCCTGGAAGCGCTGGTCAGCCGTGCTGGGTGGCAGGCCTGTGGAGCCGGAAGACCCCCCGTGCGCTGCCAGGCCTGGGACTCTCCTCTGGCCAAAGAGCAGGCCCTAGGAGGTGTGTGCAAACAGAAAACAGAAAGTGCTGCTGGGACATGTGCGGGAAAAGGAAGAGGAGGTGGAGCAGAAGGCAGAGGGAGATGGGAGGATGAGAGGTCATTCACGTGGTCACTCAGCCCCTCGCCCCACCCTGATCCTCCCTGCTGAGCCCGAAGAGCAGGGGAAACATCAGAGTGGGTGTGAACAGGAGGAGGAAGCCTCCTGCGTTTTCCAGCTTCAAACCCTCCAGAGAAGCCTAGTGTCTGCAGGGCGGCCTTGGAGGGAAGTAGCCTATAGGTGATCCCACAGCGACACCCAAGTCCCCTGCAGCCCCAGGCCTGGTGGGTTGTAAGAATCCTAGGGTGGACCAGGAGGCACCTACCAGGAGGAGAGCATTTTAAGTCAGCATGGCCCCCAGGGAGCCTGGATGGGACCAGTGACACTCCCACCCTCACCCAGCCAGAAGAGCCCCGAGGGACAAGACCCCCTCTTCCTGCCAACACCAGGTCTCAAAGCCCCCAGAGGCCATTTGGGAGAAGAGCACAGGGAAGGAGGGGACACACGGAGCCCGAGTCCTCGGAAAAACAAGACACAGACATCTGCAGACCCTGGAAAATGCCAGGCTGCTCCTTCCCCTGCCGAAGAGCTGGGGACGAGATCCTGTCTGGCACAGGAGAAGAGGTGCATGTTCTGTGCACATGGCAGTACTGTGGGCCATGGACGACCCACCCCAGCACACGCATCTGTTGACTGCACCAATCCATTCTGTGCACTCCAAAGTGAAAATGTCACTCCTGCAGTTATTTTAAAAATCATTCGTTAACTGATCTCTTTCCCAGGGCTCTTCACAGATCTGTTTGAACCACTCAAAAGCCTACGTTCACTCCCGACATTTTCTGTGGGTATATGATTAGTGGAGGCCAGGGAGGACGTTCAGTGGTGAGGGAGAGGGAGGGAAAGAAGCCCTGGCAGAGCTCCCAGTCAGACTGAAAGGCACAGACAGTCCCTCTGGGGCCCCTGTCCAGCATCCACTGGGAAACACAGAAGCCAAAGGCTCCCCTTCCTCTGTGCTTCCTCACAGCCTCTGCATGGATTCGTGGACATCTTCCACACCAGGCTGTGGCCGGCCCCTCTGCCAGGTCACTTGGCACATTCATCTCATTTAACCATTACAAGCCTTTGAGGAAGTGACCTGTACCCCCCATTTTACCCTTGAGGAAACAGAAGCAAAGAAATGTTCCCGGCTCTCTGTTGAAGTGTCAGACCTCCAAATGCAAACTCCTTCTCTCTTGGCCCCAAGACCCCTGAGATCCAGAGGGCAGCTCTTTTGGAGCAAAAATGTTGCCTGCAGTTTAAATGCTCTTGCTGAGCCAACAGCTCAGGAGGCTGAGGCAGGAGCACTGTGAGTTCAAAGCCAACCTCAGAAAAAAGCAAGGCCTAAGCAACTCAGTGAGACCCTGTCTCTAAATAAAATACAAAATAGGACTGGGGATGTGGCTCAGTGGTTGAGTACCCCTGAGTTCAATCCCCAGTACCCACCCCCCAAAATGTTACTGGGGTGGTGGCAGGGCCCTTCATGGGGTTATGAGCAGGCACCAGGAACCAGCTTCTCAGGCAGCCTGCTGAGAGGCCTAGGGGAACAGGAAAGGGGAAGTGGGTTGGCGCCTTAGGCAAATTTCTACTCGACAATTGTGCCTGGGGCAGCTGCAGATAGGGTGTTGTCATTTCCAGAAAATAATTGTACACCCCTATATCCCTGTATCTGTGTGGAATTTAGAGGTCACCAAACAGCCCTATGGGGAGGGAAAAAAGGAAGAGATGAACAATGGTCCCTTAGTGGTTTGAGATGTAAAGGACACCACCAGTTTCACTCTTGTTTCTTATTTGAGGTCAAATTTACCAGCATGTCAAACCTTGTCAGTGGATCTCTGCCAGATCCAGTCAGGGGAAAGAGAGAGGGTGAGCAGGGGCTGCCTGCATCATAAGAGAACTAGGTGCAGACTTAGGTAGGAGCCCAAGGCTCAAGTTAGCAGAGGCAAGAGGAAGACAGGTGGGATTTCAGCCTGAACGCTCTTCACTGAATGATTCCTTCCTCCAGAAGCCAGAGTCCGCCAGATGGTCTAAGTTTAAAAATTAAATAACAACCCAAAACAAAAAGTCCAATACACCCCAAACAAGTCATGCTCAAATGGAACCCTCCTCTGGGGCAGGAAGAGGAGGTAAAGTTTACCAGGTGGCTTCCAGCCAAGCTCCACACTCCCAATCTCCCCTTGTTTCTTGATTTTCCTACAGGATGTAAACAGGTTGGGACACTTGTGAGTTTGCCACTCCCAACTCTCACAAAGAAATGCTTCGTCTGTGGCTACCAAGAATCTGTTTTCTTCCAAATACCAAGATGCAGCTTCTAACAGGCTTTCAAGGAAAGCCACCTCTTTAAAACGTTGCTGCAGATTTTTCTTAAGGCCTTGTGTCCACAGTTATTCTCTCTCTCTCTCTTTCTGTCAAACACACACACACAAACACACACACACACACACACACACACCTTGAAGGTACAGGAATTGTACTTGAGAATTGTCTCTGGGATGCTATTCCATCAGTGTCACCAATGAACACACACATGCAGGTCACCTGCAGGTCCCCAGTCTTGGTGGCAGCAGGAGTAGATCCAGGTTCTAGCCCTGCAGGACCCTGGTGAGGGGAGTGGGGGCCTCACGCCTCCATCTACAGTTGCCAGGTCCAGGGCTCTTCCTGCTTGGGCAGGGCTCCAGGCAGGCTCTGGCCCCAGGACAAAGGCCCAGGGTCAGGATCTCCCACCCTCTGGCCAGACGGGGGAAAGAGCCATTGGCTGTGATGGGTGGCTTTGGAAACAGCACAAAATCCAGAGCTGGCCCTTACTGCTTAATCCTCTGGGACCTTGGGAAAGTCATTCACTCTCTCTGAAGAAAAAGAGAAATCCCTTTATAAAAGAAATTCCACTTATATCTTTCTACCACACATAAAATAATCACCTGGAATCTCAGCGTATCAGAGATGAAAAAGCCAACCTCTTAATTATCCAGCTCTTAATCGTGTAACTGTGTGAACAGGACCCAAGAAAGTCAGGGATTTGCACAGCTGGTAAAGAAAAGCGAGAGCTCCTCTCTCCATGTGTGGCCTGTGGGCCTGGCTCCTGCAGGATACAGAGACATCACAGTGGGAGAACCGGCAGGGAACCGAGTGCAACCTTGGACCCACCCTCTCCCAGAACTTGCGTTTCAAGGGAACAAATTTAGTTCCCTGAACAAGTGGTTATTGTGCAATTTCTCTTTTTCCTAACTATTGGGACCCAAGGGGCAGGGGGAAGGGATGTTTGTGGGTGTGTAAGCCTGTGTGTGTGTGCGAGCGTGTGCAGGTGTTCATGCGTGTGAATGTGCGTGTGCGTGCACGTGCGTGCACCCATATAGAGAAGACATATTGGTCGATCAGGTGTTTTTTAGGCCCCGGGTGTGGGACAACATCCAGGCTCTAACACATTCTTTGCAGTATGTCTGAGTAATGGTTTCCATTTATATCCACAAAGATTGAGTGAGAGAGGAGCATACTGATTACAGGTGTGAGACGGGAGCTGGAGGTGACGGGAAAAAATGGATTCACCCAGGACATTTCATGGTTATGTGCAAGTAGAAGCTGTAGTTTAAGTTTGAATTCTAGGCAACAACAGAGACTCCCATCAAAAGTAAATCCTCCATGGCCACACTATCAGAAAACTAAAATTCTTCTCCAGCCCCCAAGGAGAGAATGCCTATGGCCTCTGAAGTCATCTGTTTTCCCTATAGCTATTCTGCTGTTTTGACTTGGAACAGTGGACTCAAATAATCTTCTGGCTGGGAAGATCTTTGATTTATGTAATATCATCCTATAACCAAAACCCTCTTAGCAGGGCATGGTGGCACACACCTGTAATCCCAGCTACCTGGGAGGCTGAGGCAGGAGGATCAAAAGTTCCAGGTCAACCTAGGCAACTTAGGGAGACCCTGTCTCAAAAAAGAAATTTTTAAAAACAGGGTTGGGGGATGTAGCTGCTGGATTCTAAAATTACTTAAACGATCCATAAGTCTTAAACTTAGCAGGATTTCATAAACTCCCCTGTTTGGTGCTTGCTGCGGATGTGAGTTAGAACATGAGCGTGACCTGGTGGAGCAGCTCCTAAATCCAAGAGGGCAGCGGGGACTCAATCACCTGCTAATATAACCAAGCTCAGAGAGATGGAGCTGTCTAAAAACAGAACAAACATTTGGTACACACCACGCAGGGCATATAGGAACAGTCCCTGAGGCTGGGCTGTGTGGGGTGAACCATTTTAAACTTGTGTCCTGCAATGCCAAGTCCAAAGTGAGCTCCAATCCCCAGGGACAGCTTGGGGATGCCTGACACTTTTGGAGCCGCTGATAACTGCTTTTCCAAGCTCCTACTCAGCTTCTACAAAAGGAAGTGCATGTGTGTACAGCTGTGAGTGAACAATTTCCTATGACTCTGCCCTTTGCCTGCCTGTAACTAAGCCAAGTGGTAGAATAATCCGTTGGTTTGGGCAATGCCCCTCCTCACCAGCTCGAAGTGCAGGAGGCTGCAGACTGGCAGTGGAGTTCAGTCAAGCTGGCACCATAACCACATAGGGCATGATGCTCACACCCCTGAAACACAGGAAGATGCCAAGACCCAAATGGGCACACTGCCTCTCCGCAGCATAAGGTAGGAGGGGAGGACCACAGACACTTCTGTCAAACCTAGCAAGGGGACTGCAACCTCACCGCCCAGCAACCCCCAGCAGAGGGTTCCCAGCGCCATTCAAATGCTTCTTCTCATCTGAGTCTCATAACCCAGAGGGAGACAGAAGGGAGGTCTATTGACCTCTTTTGCAGAAGAGGAACTGAGTAGTTTTGCTTTCCCAGAGTCACGCAACCAGTTAGGGACAGAGTCCAGAGAAAAAGCCACATGTGTTAACACCTGACCCCAAGTCCTCCCCATTACCCACTACCTTCCCCAGAAGAAGCAGCTCCTCTGGTTGAGTGTAATAATAGCACCCACTTGAACACTCTGCATCAGCTCCAATCCTCACAACATCCTCCAAAGAGGGTGAAATCCAACATTACAGAGGGAGAAAGTGAGGCTCAGAGAGATTCAGTGACATACTTAAGGCCACACAGCTACTCAGGAGATGTAATAGATTCAAAGCCCAATCCACTAGCTCCAACAGTCTTTGGACCAAACCAAAGAGAAGGGGTGGTTCTCAGGGCTCCTGAGAATAGGTCCCTCACCCTGCCTCCCACCGTCGGTTGAAAGAAATCAGGAAAGCTACCTCATTGCCACATTGCTGCCGTCGATCACTATGGGACGCAGGGAGCTGGCCAAGTCTCCACAGTCCTCTTCTAGGGCTGACCTCAAGCCCCGCTGGGCAGAGTCTGGGACTCCACAGGAGCCCCGGGGAACGAGCAGAGGCCCAGTGCTGCTGGCAGGGCTCTCCTGGGCCCCAGGGCGGCTGCCCGTCTGGATCAGTTCCTGCAACACGTCGTTGACCAGGGCACCGTCTCCCAGCTTGCCCAGCACCCTGACCACATCCTCCCGGCTGTAGCCCAACTTCTGGAAGAACTCCATCTTGCTCGGGCGCTCCATACTGTGCCAGCCACCTCCTGGCGTGAGTCCTGCCCCCAGCTTCCTCCTGGCAGAGCCCCACGGGCATGAGCTAAAGAGAAAAAGTGCCCATCAGGTATTTTCCGGGCAGTCTGGCACCCAGGATGCCAGGTGACCGAGAGCAAGTTGTATATGTGCTCCCTCCCTCTGACCTTATCTGTCAGGAAATCATGTCAAGCCTAGTCCCCCACGTGGGGATTTTCAGTTGCTCAGTGTGGTTTGTGGAGTCACAGATACAATCACACTGCTTCTACTATGCATTCTCTGTGGCTGTCACCCCAGCGCACCTGTGCAGGGAACAACAACCCGACCCCAGGGTGACAGGGGCTGAGCAGGGTACCCACAAGTCGGGACAGACCAAGGAAATATTTCTGAGGCTTTGCTACAGGTTGAATGGTTTCCACCCAAATTCCCATGTTGAAGCCCTTAGCCTCACCCCGCCGTACCTCAGAGCGTGACTGAATTTGGAGACTGAGCCTTTGAAATGAGGTTGTTAGGGTAGGCCTCCTCCAATAACTGTGACCCTGCAAAAGGAAGTTTGGACACAAACACACATGGAAGACGACCACATAAAGATTCAGGGAAAAAGGCAATCATCTGTGAGCCAAGAGTCAGGGCTCAGGAGGAGCCAGCCCTGAGATCACCTGGATCTGGGACAGTGGATTTCCAAAGTTCCTGCTCCAGTCCCTGGTGCTCTGTTAAGGCAGATGAACACAGGCTCCTGGGTTTACACAGGGAGAAATGCTCTCTGGAAAGTTCTATCTCCCGAAAGGCAATGCTCCCAGCCAACCATGTGCTTTGGTACAACTTTAATTCAGACCACACTGAACCTTGAAGATAGAAAGTCCTAACCGGTATCTGACAGTTTCCCCTCCAGGTACCCCTGAGGACGATGGGAGCAGGGACTGTAGCCTCAGAGATGCTGTCAGAAGGGACATGACTAAACCAATAGGAACACTCCAGACAGACTGGGCCTGTCTCTCTTTTCTACCGCAAAGACCTTCATCTTACACCTTTCAAAAACATTTAGAAATACAGATGTAACTTTGAAAACACATTTGCTGTGAACAATTTGAACAATGTCAAAGTATAAAGAGCAATGCACACAGCACATCCGTGGTGCCTCTCCTGCCAATAATCTGCTCCCTCTCTCTAGCATGTTCTCTGCACTGCTCTGCATGTTACCAGATAACAAAGCTGGCTTTAGGACTGTTTTGCTTGATTTGTCAGAAATGACACCATACTGTATATAAAAGCGATGTACTTTTCTTATCAAAAATGCATTTTGGAATCTTTCCCTGCCAGGTTACCTGTTCTGCTGACCACTGTGTATGCCCAGCATCTAGAACAATGCCTGGCACAGCCGAATCCCAATGCATAGTTGTTAATTAACGAATGAATGAATGGTGCTATCCAGCGTTTAACCCTAAATCAAACCATGGAAACCATAGATTGCCTTTGGTTTTTCACTGTTAGCAAATCCTGCACGCTGAAGATATTTGTGCATCTTCTTTTTCACCCCATCCTCTTCTGGGCATTTCCAGCTCCTCACCTTTAGATGCTATCTCTGATCTGCAGCAGCCATGCCTCTGTGGTAGGTTCCCACCTCAACTCTCCCTGTAGTTCTGGAATCAGAGCACAGCTAACAATGTCAGGGTTCGGTGGGGAAAGGGCATTCCACAGCTAACTTTCTGGGCAGAGAGGCCTCCACTGCAGCCCCACCTGCCTGCTTCCATCCCACCTCGGCCACTGACAACGGGCCTCCCAACTGGAACACTAAATCTCTCCCCCAAGGTCACCAGTCCCTTCTAACTGAAAATCCATCCGAATCTTCACAATCCTTGCCTACGACCTCCCTGCCACTTTTGACACCGTGGACTCACTCACTCTCCAAATTGTCATTTTAAATTTTTAAAATTATGAGCTGTCCCCAACTTGAAACTCTCTGCTCCCCCAGGTTACATAACTTGGCCTGCCTCTCCTCCTGTATGTTTCCAGCTCTTTCTCTGCTCCCTCCATCAGTGTTGGGGTCCTGCCCAGGCCCTCCACCCGTCCCTATATTCCCATGGGTCCCACAGCTTCACATCTGGCTCCCACCTCTTATGGAGCACCAGGCA